AACATCCGTGTTGTGTTGACTGGTGTGGTCTCCGTCCGCGGGGGCGTGATTACTGCGCGCTGTAGGTCAGGTGTTTGGCCCCGGGGCGGGCGGGTGGGCGGGGGTCACCGCCCGCGGCAAGGTTGGTGGCGGTGACCCCCGGCAGGTGGTGTGGGGTCACGAGCAGGCTCCAGGAGCCCGGGGGTCACAGCTCATGCCGGCCAGTGGAGGATGGTCGCGATTCATAATAGTTGCAGAGGTAGTTTGTGTATAGTGACGCTGGCATTTGACGGACAGATTCACGAAGCAGTTACGCAAGCGCTTACCAACCTGTACGTCTCTCCTCAATCTTTGACGGCTTTGGTTACATTTATTAAACAGTTTACAAGCATGAAAACTTCCCAATCAACTGTTGTTATTGTTATAAACAGTCTCCTGGTGCTTCGGAGCTCATTAACTGTTTAATAATTGTAAACAAAGCCGCCAAAGATTGAGAAAAGATGTACAGGTTCGCAAGTGCTTGCGTAACTGTTTCGTGAATCTGGCTCCTGATTTAAAAAAAGATGTATGTTGAGGTGCATTGGAGAAATGTTGCCGGGACAAAATGGGACATGTTCAAGACACCATTTATCCAGTTCCTGCCAGAAGTGGCGGACCAGGCGGATTTTAATGGATATGTGGGCCTGCGGGCCGCTGCACGTAACAGCCTGTTAGATCACCACAATACTTGTATTAGGATGGATTGTACTTGTAAGAGGCTGCCATGTGGGTTTTTTGTGTTGGATATAACACTAACACACACTCTCTCACACTCTCACACACACACAGTCACACTCTGTCACACACACACACACACACACACACACACACACACTCAGTCACACTCACACTCACACTCTCACACACTCTCTCACACACTCACACACTCACAGTCACACTCACACTCACACACACACTCAGTCACTCACTCACTCACTCACTCACTCACTCACTCACTGAGGCGGGCGGACCATTAACACCCCTACAAAGGTAGTCAGAGCACACGAGTCCATCATTAGCGTGCTTCTTGAAGCTGTATAACCGGAAGCTTGACAGTTAGCTTGGTGCTGGGGAGGGGGAGGGGTGGGTGAGGGTAGGGTGGGGGGGGGGGTGGGGGGAGGGGTGGGGGGAGGGGTGCAGGGTGGGGTGGGGGGAGGGGTGGGGGCAGGGGGGTGCAGGGAGGGGTGGGGGGAGGGGTCTGGCAGGGTGGGGTGGGGGGAGGGGTGTGGGGAGGGTGGGGTGGGGGGAGGGGTGTGGGGGGGGGGGGCCTGGGAGTAAGAACTAACCTCTAACTACCACCTAACTAGTCAAGCACGATCTCTCACCCTGAATGGCTTCTTGAGGTTATCTTGAGATGATTTCGGGGCTTTTTAGTGTCCCCGCGGCCCGGTCCTCGACCAGGCCTCCACCCCCAGGAAGCAGCCCGTGACAGCTGACTAACTCCCAGGTACCTATTTTACTGCTAGGTAACAGGGGCATAGGGTGAAAGAAACTCTGCCCATTGTTTCTCGCCGGCGCCTGGGATTGAACCCAGGACCACAGGATCACAAGTCCAGCGTGCTGTCCGCTCGGCCGACCGGCTCCCATATCGTTTAAACTTGTTCTTAACATTATAAGTAGTAAAGACTATTTATAAATGGTACGTGCTCTAAATGGTAGAGTTGACACTGTACAGGTACACACGGCGTGGTTGGGTACTCACCGTGTTGTGCTTGCGGGGGTTGAGCTCTGGCTCTTTGGTCCCGCCTCTCAACCGTCACTCAACTAGTGTACAGATTCCTGAGCCTACTGGGCTCTTATCATATCTACATTTGAAACTGTGTATGGTGAATGCATTAGGCAGTGATGTGGTGGAGGCTGACTCCATACACAGTTTCAAATGTAGATATGATAGAGCCCAGTAGGCTCAGGAACCTGTACACCAGTTGATTGACGGTTAAGAGGCGGGACCAGAGAGCCAGAGCTCAACCACTACAAGTACAACTAAGTGAGTACACACACGTCTGTCTGTCTCTCAGTAAGGCGGACATCCCGCCTGCTATCATAACTTAAGTTATTTCCCGTATACAAACTGTCCCCTTCACCCCAAGGAGCCGGTCGGCCGAGCGGACAGCACGCGGGACTTGTGATCCTGTGGTCCCGGGTTCGATCCCAGGCGCCGGCGAGAAACAATGGGCAGAGTTTTTCACCCTATGCCCCTGTTACCTAGCAGTAAAATAGGTACCTGGGTGTTAGTCAGCTGTCAGTGGCTGCTTCCTGGGGTTGGAGGCCTGGACGAGGACCGGGCCGCGGGGACACTAAAGCCCCGAAATCATCTCAAGATAACCTCAAGATACACCAGTATTGTGAGGCAGGTAAGGTAGGGAGGTCGGGGGGGGGGGGAGGTGAGAGGTGTGGAGGGTGTAGGGGAGAGAGGGGGGGGAGGTGTATTAATATTGGGTGTAAGTGTAGCGGAGTCTGCTACGGGCTCACCATAGCCCGTGCTACTTGCCCTGCTCCTGTGCCAGGTAAGTTACGGGCTCACCATAGCCCGTGCTACTTGCCCTGCTCCTGTGCCAGGTAAGTTACGGGCTCACCATAGCCCGTGCTACTTGGAACTTGTTCCGAGTAGCTGAATCTATAACAACAACATGTAGCGGAGACGGGAAGCGTGTCCAGGGCGCAGGAAAGCTGGTCCGTTGTTCGAGCCTCAAGACACAAACTTGGGAAGAATTCGCCTTGGGTTGTCTCTGAAGGTCACGGGTTCGTTCAGTATTAGTTTTTACTTTCTTGACTTCTTACGTTCGTTGATCTTTGCCATTCGTAGTGTAGTATGGACGCACGGGCGCGCGCGCACACGCACAAGGGGACACAGGTGGAAACTGAGTGCCCAAATGAGCCACAGAGATATTAGAAAGAACTTTTTTTAGTGTCAGAGTGGTTGACAAATGGAATGCATTTGGCAGTGATGTGGTGGAGGCTGACTCCATACACAGTTTTAAGTGTAGATATGATAGAGCCCAGTAGGCTCAGGAACCTGTACACCTGTTGATTGACAGTTGAGAGGCGGGACCAAAGAGCCAGAGCTCAACCCCCGCAAGCACAACTAGGTGAGTGTACACACTCCAGGTGGGGAGGTGGTGTCTACCTCTGGTGGAGAGGGGGGGGGGGGGTTTCGTGGATCAGTGTCCCCGTGGCTCTGTCTCTTGTAACCTGTCTGTATGATCAGCCAAATTGTTGATGAGCTCTATAATCTGTCGTGGTAACCATGGTTCGGTTGATTAAGTATCCTACGTTGATATTAGTCTGATGCCCTTGGGGACGACTTTGTGGGCCCTTGGGGACGACTTCGTGGGCCCTTGGGGACGACTTCGTGGGCCCTTGGGGACGACTTCGTGGGCCCTTGGGGACGACTTCGTGGGCCCTTGGGGACGACTTCGTGGGCCCTTGGGGACGACTTCGTGGGCCCTTGGGGACGACTTCGTGGGCCCTTGGGGACGACTTCGTGGGCCCTTGGGGACGACTTCGTGGGCCCTTGGGGACGACTTTGTGGGCCCTTGGGGACGACTTCGTGGGCCCTTGGGGACGACTTCGTGGGCCCTTGGGGACGACTTCGTGGGCCCTTGGGGACGACTTCGTGGGCCCTTGGGGACGACTTCGTGGGCCCTTGAAGCTTGTAAACTGTGTTATAAATAGAGACTTAAGTCGCTATGATGGAAGTACAAAACAGATCTCGCTGGTTAACACCCAAGTGGTTTGTAAATCCTGCAACCCTTCCTCGTCAACAACACTTCCTGGTTGATACCTGGTTGATGGGGTTCTGGGAGTTCTACTCCCCAAGCCCGGTCCGAGGCCAGGCTTGACTAGTGAGAGTTTGGTCCACCAGGCTGTTGCTTGGGTGGTGGCTGTTGCTTGTGTGGATATGCACATATATGTGGATATTCACTACAGCCTGGTTGGTCCGGCACTCCTTGGAGAAAATGATCTAGTTTTCTCTTGGATGTCCACGGTTGTTCCGGCAATATTTCTTGAATGATGGCATCTTGTAAATTATTCGCAACCTTTGGCCTGTGTGGCAGTGAATATAAGCAGCTCCTCACTGCAATGACGCTTGATTGAATTAAACAACACTGTCCTCTCGATCACTTCTTCGTTCGCGTCCTCTGTTCGAATCCCGCCTCTCTAAATGCCTCACTCACCTACAATAAATACCAATAATTGTCAACAGAACGTAGTCAAACCTAAGTTTGGTCTAACCATTCAACACATTGTAGTGTGAAATGAAATTGCCTTTTGAGAAATTGAAAACTTTGATTACCCAGTTGGTTAAAATGGGTGACTGTGGCTTTGGGTTTGGTTGCAGCTTGGACGAGCCTAGCCGGGGGACAGGTAGACATTCTGGTATTTAGGGACATGTACGACCTATCTTGTGTCTAGCTCTGGTTCCAGGAATCTTTACCCCCCCCCCCGCGGCCCGGTCGCTGACCAGGCCTCCTGGTTGGTCTGGTTTTGTCAACCAGGCTGTTACAGGCAGCTTCCGACGCGTCAGAGGTACGAGTCACAGCCCCGTTGATCAAGTAGACTTGGGAGGCGTTTTATCAAGTTGTCTCCTGAACACTGTGAGAGGTGGACCAGTTATGCCCCCTTGTTATCTTGAGGTTATCTTGAGATGATTTCGGGGCTTTTTAGTGTCCCGCGGCCCGGTCCTCGACCAGGCCTCCACCCCTAGGAAGCAACCCGTGACAGCTGACTAACACCCAGGTACCTATTTTACTGCTAGGTAACAGGACATAGGATGAAATACACTCTGCCTTTGTGTGACTATAGAGGGGAGGGGGGGGAGGTGTGTGATGACAAGCCTCGGGCCCCTTGATGGTCGTAGTTCTCTCTCAGCGTTCCTATTGATCCCAATATTAATTGAGCCCGGGCAATACCGGGTACTTTTGCTAGTAGACTGTATTGTGTGATTATATATCTCATGTGCTGTATTTTCTCCTTTGCAGGCAAAGGTTGGTATGGGGGCCGAGGTGGTGGGTGTTCCCTGGGGCGCTACTGCCCCTGCTCCTGCTGCTCCTGCTGCTGCTGGTGGTGAGTCTGTCTTCAGGGTGCCAGCAGGTGGTTAGGGGACTCCATTCTGCTTTTAGATGACGGGGGGGGGGGGGACAGTTCACGTCTAGACAAGGGGTCATGCTGTTTTAAGATAGCTTTTCCCGCTTTTCTTTATACAGAAAAGCAGAGAGGAAACAATGAGAAGAGTTGTCATTAGGCACACTCAGAACATCACTGTATAAACATCAGAGGTCCGCGGTTGTTCAACATCCTCCCAGCGAACAAAGGTGGGTCTGTTCAGGAAGCACTTAGATAAGCATCTACAAGAGGAGCGGGATAACAAAGTTGTAGTGTATGGTCCTTGGAGGGCGGCTCCAAGCAACAGCCTGTTGAATCAAGCTCTCACAAGTCAAGTCTGGCCTCAGGCCGAGTTCGGGGAGTAGAAGAACTACTGAAACACACTTTACCCAGGAGCAGGTATGCTTCAGGGATAGGCTTACCATGAGCTATGGGAAGGGAAAGCTCCCAGCTTGCTAACAGGAGTCAGCAGTCGTCTGCTCCTGTACCCTCCTGTGTGTAAAACTAGTAGGGTAAGGCTTACCATGAGCTATGGGAAGGGAAAGCTCTCAGCCAGCTAACAGGAGTCAGCAGTCGTCTGCTCCTGTACCCTCCTGTGTGTAAAACTAGTAGGGTAGGCTTACCATGAGCTATGGGAAGGGAAAGCTCTCAGCCTGCTAACAGGAGTCAGCAGTCGTCTGCTCCTGTACCCTCCTGTGTGTAAAACTAGTAGGGTAAGGCTTACCATGAGCTATGGGAAGGGAAAGCTCTCAGCCTGCTAACAGGAGTCAGCAGTCGTCTGCTCCTGTACCCACCTGTGTGTAAAACTAGTAGGGTAAGGCTTACCATGAGCTATGGGAAGGGAAAGCTCTCAGCCTGCTAACAGGAGTCAGCAGTCGTCTGCTCCTGTACCCTCCTGTGTGTAAAACTAGTAGGGTAAGGCTTACCATGAGCTATGGGAAGGGAAAGCTCTCAGCCAGCTAACAGGAGCCAGCAGTCGTCTGCTCCTGTACCCTCCTGTGTGTAAAACTAGTAGGGTAAGGCTTACCATGAGCTATGGGAAGGGAAAGCTCTCAGCCTGCTAACAGGAGCCAGCAGTCGTCTGCTCCTGTACCCTCCTGTGTGTAAAACTAGTAGGGTAAGGCTTACCATGAGCTATGGGAAGGGAAAGCTCTCAGAGGGAATACAGAGAACATATACGGCATACATAGACGCGATAAAGCACCTAAATTATTGGGATCGTCTCAAAGCTCTCCAAATGTACTCACTAGAAAGAAGACGAGAGAGATATCAAATAATATACACCTGGAAGATACTGGAGGGCCAAGTACCAAATCTACACAGTAAAATAAGAACGTACTGGAGTGAACGATATGGAAGAAAATGCAGAATAGAACCAGTGAAGAGCAGAGGTGCCATAGGCACAATCAGAGAACACTGTATAAACATCAGAGGTCCGCGGTTGTTCAACATCCTCCCAGCGAGCATCAGAAATATTGCCGGAACAACCGTGGACATCAAGAGGAAACTAGATTGTTTCCTGCAAGGAGTTCCGGACCAACCGGGCTGTGGTGGGCCTGCGGGCCGCTCCAAGCAACAGCCTGGTGGACCAAACTCTCACAAGTCAAGCTTGGCCTCGGGCCGGGCTTGGGGAGTAGAAGAACTCCCAGAACCCCATCAACCAGGTTAGCCTGCTAACAGGAGTCAGCAGTCGTCTGCTCCTGTATACACCTGTGTAAATAAAAATATACACCCATTGGAATCGAAGGATGGTATTATATAGGATCCAGATTGAGTCCCCAGAGGTAGCTTCAAGACTGCTTCACTAAACATTTTAGCTTTAGAGTTGATACGTTATGTATTAAGAGTTTGGAGAGGAGGGAGAGGGCTGGCGGTGAGCAACCTCTGGATGCTGGGAGTCGTCCTCCTGGCTAGAGGGATATACTGTTGAACGCTCCAGGCTGGTCAAAACGGGTTTGGAGGAGAGTTTCTCACTCCCTCCTTGTCTCCACCACATGGAGTATGTGTATGGCGTCTCTGGGTATGTGCTAAAGGCACCCCATCCCTCTCTTTAAATATTCTAACGTATGAATCACAGCCTGGTTGATCAGGTCGGCTTCGGAGGTGCTTATCCAGTTCTCTCTTGAACACTGTGAGGGGTCGGCCAGTTATGCCCTTATGTGTAGTGGAAGCGTGTTGAACAGTCTCGGTCCTCTGATGTTGATAGTTCTCTCTTGAACACTGTGAGGGGTCGGCCAGTTATGTCCCTTATGTGTAGTGGAAGCGTGTTGAACAGTCTCAGGCCTCTGATGTTGATAGAGTTCTCTCTCAGAGTACCTGTTGCACCTCTGCTCTTCAACGGGGGTATTCTGCACATCCTGCCATGCCTTCTGGTCTCATGTGATGTTATTTCTGTGTGCAGGTTTGGGACCAGCCCCTCTAATATTTTCCACGTGTAAATTATTATGTATCTCTCCCGCCTGCGCTCAAGAGAATACAGATTTAGAACTTTCAATCGGTCCCAATAATTAAGATGACTTATAGAGTAGATTCAAGCGGTAAAGAACCTTTGCACGCTCTCCAGGTCGGCAATTTCTCCGACTCTGAATGGGGCTGTTAGAGTGCAACAATATTCCACCCTAGAGAGCACTAGCGCCTTGAAAAATATCATTGGTCTGGCATCCCATATATGTACTATATTAGGCCTTGTTATTGTTAGGCCTAGGATGGTTAGGTTAGGTTTTTATTAGCAACAAATATATAATGATTTACGGTTTGTCCAAATTCAGTAGTACCAAATTCTACTTTCTTTACATTACATCATTACATCAGTATATGTGTGATGGTCCACGTGGCTACTGCAACTACTCTACTATCTTAACAAGAGGCTGAGAGCTAGTACACTGTATTGTGTGTTGTGTGTGTGTGTGTGTGTGTGTGTGTGTGTGTGTGTGTGTGTGTGTGTGTGTGTGTGCGTGTGCGCGCGCGTGTGCGTGCGTGCGTGTGCGCGCGCACCAAGCCCCAAAAGCACTAGTACCCCATTACTCTAATCCCTCGCTAAGCCCCGAAACCATCTCAAGGTTTTCGATCACTTCGAAGCCACCATCCATATGTGGCTGGCGCTGCAAGCGCCAGCCTGGTGGATCAAGCTCTCACAAGTGAGAGTAGAACAACTCCCAGAACCCCATCAAGCAGGTATCACGGTAACTCTCGAAGGTGGTAACACTGTCCTGTCCGCGGTCAACTCTCACACGTGGGTGGGGTTGGTGCCCTGGGATGGGGGGACCAGGAATGGTAACCCCCCCCCCCCCTTCCTTCCTCCCCCTCGTCCCTCACCCCCCCCCCCCTCCTCCCTCACCTGCGTCTCTCACCCTCCACATTCCACCTGATCATCGTCCAGGGCTCTCCCCCCTCCCCCCCCCTGACTCATTCCCATTTCTCTCTGGTGTCTACGTTTCTCTTGGCTGAGATCATCTCCTCTCATCTCTTCCTTAGGAGAGCTACACGTGAAGACACGAAGGCTGGTGAGGTGGGGGGGGGGGGTGTCGGGATGGGTGGATGGGGGGGTGTCGGGATGGGTGTGTGTGTGTGGGTGTGTGTGTGTGGGTGTGTGTGTGGGTGTGTGTGTGTGGGTGTGTGTGTGGGTGTGTGGGTGGGTGTGTGTGTGGGTGTGTGTGTGGGTGTGTGTGTGGGTGTGTGTGTGGGTGTGTGTGTGTGTGTGGGTGTGTGTGTGGGTGTGTGTGTGTTACTCCTGTAACACACACCCCCAAGCTCTATCAAAGAGCACATCAGGTCTTCGCAAATCACCAGATGTCTTGATCAATAACACAAAAATAACACAGCAAAAAACTAAGAGATTAGAGATAGCCGAAGCACTAGTTATCACTCGCATCTATCGACCATATTTTCTCAGCATCTCTTGAGGTTATCTTGAGATGATTTCGGGGCTTTAGTGTCCCCGCGGCCCGGTCCTCGACCAGGCCTCCACCCCCAGGAAGCAGCCCGTGACAGCTGACTAACACCCAGGTACCTATTTTACTGCTAGGTAACAGGGGCATAGGATGAAAGAAACTCTGCCCATTGTTTCTCGCCGGCGCCCGGGATCGAACCCGGGACCACAGGATCACAAGTCCAGTGGTGCTGTCCACTCGGCCGACCGGCTCCCATAATAGCCAAAGATTAGTATGAATATTTAATGAACGAAATGAACAGGAACTAAATGAAACATCTATTTTAGAATTAAAAAAAAGATAAAGACATGAGGGTGAGAATTCATTTAATTAGACGACCGGAAAGGCAGAGTCTAAGAGCTAAAGCTCGACCCTGCAGGCACGAATAGGCGACCCCATTACCAACGATATGCTCGAGCACTAAATGGTGATAAGATTGTGTTAACGGAATAGCGGTAACGGAGTATATTGGGCAGTACTTGGGAACCAGGTACTGATTGTGGAGGGATTAGGGGGGGGGGAGAGTAACGGGGGTATGTTTTTTTTTTAATTATTATTTTCTACCACAGACGTGGCCAGACATTTGCAATGCTAACCAGCATATATACATTTTCTTCTGTCCTCCATGGACAGGGTGAGAGAAGTGTTAAACATGTAGTCCAGGAATTTGTTGAACAATCAACCACAGAAGGTGATTGTAGTGCTTTTAAAATGCTAAAGACATTAACAGACAGACACACAGTATGTGTGTGTGTGTATTCTATGATCTATTCTATGTATTCTATAGTATTCTAGTATGATGTATATTCTATGTATTCTCTGATCTAGTCTGATCTATGTATTCATGTCACACAGACACTGCCTACAGTGACACAGTGCTGCTGCTACTTTAAGGCTCAGAAAATAAGTTCATCTCTGGAAATAAGCCAAATATGAAATAATAATCGTTTTGA